AATTTGCTGTGACTAAGCACAATTAATCAATGAAATGCCGGAGTGCATCTGTGTTGTATGCATTATTTATTTATTTTTTAACTAGGGATATGGTAAGGAATACAGAAGGTAGAGGGGAATATGGGGGGTGGGAAAGGGGGGGAAGGGGAACACAAAATAGACTATCATCCAGTCTGTTCATGTTGCGATATCAAGTCGACTTTCTGCCTTTCTACATACAATTTGATTGCCCTCCAGGTTTTAACTTACATTTACATCTTAGTTTAAAACTATGTTATTCAAGCACTATCTGGTGACTCAAGCCATTTATATAATACATCCCATCATTCAGTTGCCTTTTGTATTGGGCAGTCTTTCATGTGTTTGTAGGCATTTTCATATCAACTGATGTTGCCTGCTGTGCTTTGTCAACTACCCATGGCGAGTTATACACATCTTATACAAATAATGATAGAATCCTGGCCACTGGCGGTTTGGGGTTACAAAGCTTACTCTTGGGCTGATGAATATGTGTTTCTCCTTATATAGGTCCTGGGTACTGCAGTGTGCTGAGGTCCAAGGCCCTCCAACGGGAAATCGGAAAGGGGTACATCCCTCAGTGCACAAGCGATGGTGGGACCTTTTCACCTGTGCAATGGACTGAGGACCAGGAAAGCTACTGGTGTGCCTTTGAGAACGGAGAGGAAGCTCCCGGGACACGCATCAATAGCAAGAAGCTCCCGTGTGAACGTGAGTTGCATGCTTTGGACGTCTTGACACCCTGGTGCTTTGGTTCGTAGCAGAACTTGAATAGTTACTTGGAAAAAGCAACTTATTCCAGCCTCTCGCTCCTGTACTCGTTAACGGTGGAAGTGAAACTACTAAATTTTTTAATCTGAACTTTAAAGGAGGTCTCCAAAGTGCTGAATCTGTATCGAGAATAGGATTCAGCATTTTTTGAAAGCCTCTGCAAAGTTCGGAGTAAAACAGAGTGAAGACTGAACGCCCAACTGACCCTGGAGCCCCCCAGCCCCTATTTGCATGGCATTGTACTCGTTCAGTGTGAATGAAGTTACATGTTCATAGAATCAGAGAATAATAGAGCTGGAAAGGGTCTATAAGACCATCGAGTCCAACCACCGACTCGGTGCAGAAATCCTTGTTTGCATTGTTCGTCACTTTTGATATTTTTCATTATTATATTTTAAATCCACCTGATCAAAAAGAAATTGCAGAAAACATGAGAAGAAAAATATTATCTCAAAATGCCTCCAAAATGTCCTGGAAGGGTAACTTTAAAACGTAATTAGTAAATGTGATTTGATTTGTCAGCCATCTTATCCCTACCCATCATGTTATTTTTGAAATATAACTTCATGGTAACAAAAAAAAAAAGGGAGTAACTAGGTACAGGAAATGGCATTGCTTATAGCTTGGTACTTCCAAGCCCTGATTTATAAGAGAAAAAGTTTCACTGCCTCATAAGATGCTCTGTGACAGTTCTAATAACACATTTTTTTTAAAAAAAATTAAGCAGTATAAAAAGACTCTCTCAGATTTGAAACTGAAATTCCCAGGATTCCAGAGAGGCTCTTGGCATATGTGACTTTTCCATCTCTAGTTTTACAATTAAAAGGTTCACAGAGCCAGTCCTGAATGTTGGTGGGGGAACAAGTTAAGCTGAATATCCTTTCAAAATCCTGGCTTGAAAGCAAAGCTCTCTGAGTAGTGTTGGGAAAGTCACGTGTTTGTTCTAATTAAAGTACCTAACAGGTTTGGATTTGGGTAAGTTACCCACTTTAGATGGACAAAATGCTTGGCTGTCTCTAAGTGTGAGATTCGGTTCCCAGAGAACACAACGAATCTTGCCTGCAGTCATACAAACTGACAGTTCTAATAACACATTTTCTCTTGGCCAGGAAATCTGTTCTTGGGTAGAAAGCATGAAACTCTCCCAGTCCCTTGGGGATCTGCCAGCTCTGTCAGTTAGCAGCTCTTAGGATCAATTCATGCAAGTACCTGAAGAAACCTTTCTCAGACTGTACCACTTTGGATCACAGGTGGAGATTGGCATGTTTGACCCCTTTAGTCACATGTTCATATAAAGCAACCCTTTCCACCCCCCTACATGTGGCACAACCGTCTTCCTACACCTTGAAATAGCTCAATCCAGGTAAAGCATTGTCCTACATAAATAACTGGCCAAAATCCTGTTGCATGGAGTTTGCCTGCACAACAGGAAAGATGTCATTGGCAGTGGCAGATTGCTGTTGATTAACAGCTTCCTTTTGGATTTGAGCTGCGTGAACCCTAGAAATTGCAAAAGGAAGCCTTTAATCAGTGGTAATCTGCTCTGCCATCATTCCCAGCTGGAATTGTGCAACAGGATTACAGCCATTAAGCCTCAAATTCATCGATGTTCAGAGCTAGTTACCCTTTTCAAAACCCATTTTCACACTCTAGAGATGTGATATTTGTGGTTGCTTATAGCCATAGGTTGTCTCTCCCGTACACCTCCATAAACATGTGATTGATTGACCGAGGTGAGGAAACCCAAGAAATTTGTCCATAGCACTGGAAACACTGTGTGGTATCTTAATAAGCTACATGCAATCTGACTCTGGATAAGAATCTTCCAATATGAATTTCTAGACTGGATATTCCAACATCCAAAATCTGAATTTCTATTTCTCTCCAAAATCCTATTTCAGCCACATTTCATTTCTTAGATCTGCAAGATTCTTATTTTAGTTCAGACTCTTTGATCTTTCCAGTTCCCCAACAAGGGAAGCTAACAGCTAAGTGAGGACTTTTCTTGTAGTCCTGCAGAAACCTTGAGCGATGGAAGGAAAATGGCTTCCGTCTGCAGATGAGTAAACTGGCTGTGGTGGGAAAGAACAATAAATCCCATCTTCTTTATCACAAGAGACAGCTCACAGAGGCATGTTGTAACTCTGGAACACCCGTTGTGTGTCCAAGGAGGTTTCTCTTAGCTGATAAGTTCCATATGGCAGAGGTTTCCTTGAGGTCAACTGAAGCTTCTATTGGATGGAATCCAGCATTCTTTCACCACTGTGTACGTCAAGGCTTTTAATGCGCGTATGCTAGTCGTTTGTTAAATAAATAAAATAAATAGATACCACCCACATCCTTACTTTAGAGGCAATGAGAAAATAAGGCTAGATATGCAGATGCAGAGGAAATGAAGTGGAAATGTCCTGAGATGATTGGAAGGAGTGGACCATTAACATGGTCTGAGTTAATGGTCTTTCAGGGAAGGTCACATGGAGCATACCCTTGGGTCCTAAGACTCAAGCTACAGGACCCAAACATGTGTTAGCTTAAATCATTAACTTCTGGGGGACTGATTTTCCCACTGACATGGTATCATGGGAGCTGAGGCTATCCAACACAACACAAAGATTTCTGGGATGTCAGGAGTAAATGGGGGGGATTATGATCTAGGGTGTTATGGAGGAGTTTGTCTAGATATTATTTGGTCTTCTAATTCACTGAGTGCTTTTATCTTTTTCCTTCATCCATATGCATTCCCTCTGCCAGTGCTGATTTAGTGGAGAAGACATTGTCCCTGATAATCTACAACATGTTCTTCCTAGGTCCTCTGTGTCGCTTGCCTTTTGATGCCCCCGGCATAATCAATGGTGGAGTCTTCTGTAACACTTCTGATGTTGCCCCAAAGATTCAGCAGTGTCGAGTCATTTGCTCTCCAGGCTTCCAAAGTGTCTTTCCCAGCAATGAGATGCTATTCTGTGATACAGAGAATCTCCTCTGGATAGGAGACCTGCCTCATTCACTGGCCTGTCAAAGTAAGTATAGCAATTAAGAATGTGATTAGTAGCCTACTGTTTGGAGGTATAACGAGTGAAGAGTTGAGGCTGGCAATGGGAAATCTGAGTTTTGATCACTCAGTGGTTTGGGGATGTGTCAAAGTCAAATGTACGACAGTTGAACAAAGTCCTCAGAGTGCTATAAGATTACAACACTTGCTGGAAGTTTGAGTCTGTGATGGTCTATCAATGCTAACAGTTACCCTTGACATGGTTAATTCCAGTGCGTGAACAGATAACCTTCATTCATGTCGAAGTTCCATTGGGTTTCAAGGTACTGTACAGTGGTGCCTCGCTTGACGATGTTAATTCGTTCCAGCGAAATCGCTGTAGAGCGAAAACATCATCAAACGAAATAAAAAAAAACCTTGAAACGCATTAAAACCCGGTTAATGGGTTCCAATGGACTGAATACCTGCTCGTCCAGCGAAGATCCTCCATACGGTGGCCATTTTGGTGCCTTTATAGCGAGAAATCCATCCTAGAAAACAGCGGGGGGCAATTTTGAAAGCCAGCGGCCATTTTGAAACCCGATGATGAGCTGTTAGCTGATCGTCATAAAGTGAAAAATTGGTTCCCGAAACAGGGAACCGATCGTTGTTAAACAAAAAACCCAATCTAAACATCGTTTTGCGATCGCAAAAACTTCAGTGTTAAGCGGATTCGTCGTTAAATGGGGTAATTGTCCAGCGGGGCACGACTGTGTAAGTTGTGCGGATTCGTCGTTAAATGGGGTAATTGTCCAGCCGGGCACGACTGTATAAGTTGATTCATTATTGATTCCAGGCAACATTAGCTTGTCTATTTCTACAAGCTTTATTTATCAAACTGCTTCTATGCACATAAATTTTTTTAAAAAACTAATTGTTTACAGGCAACATTAGCTTGTCTATTTCTACAACCTTTATTTATCAAGTTGCTTCTATGCACATACATTTTTAAAAAAACCTACAGTAATTGTTTAAAAAAATGACTGAAAATAATTAGCTTGTGGCCTCTAAAAATGGCAGATCTTAAATACTTCACTTACACTTTCTTAAACATATTTGTTTGACAGTAAGTTTGAGTGAATTCAGTGGGATTTGCTCCCAAGTAACCATGCTTAGGATGGATTTGATGGAGGTACATCTTCTGAATGAAACACATCATCATCATCGGCATCATCTTAGAACTGCAGGGCTGGAAGCGGCCCTGTGGGTCATCAAGACCAGCCCCTGTCAAAGAGCCACAGTGGGGAATTGAACTCCCAGTCTGGCTCTACAGTGAGAGACCTAAACCACCGAGCTATCCAGATGAGCAGCAGATGTTTTCATCTTGGCATATGCTATTAGTTCACATTACATCATGTTTAATTTTGTTACAGACAGACAGACAGACACACACGTACACGCACGCACGCACGCATGCACGCACGCACGCGCACACACACACACACACACACACACACACACACACACACACACACCCCTCCTAAAGCAATTGGCTCTGCAGGTTTATTGCCATCTTTAATGCCTTCCCAGCTTCCTACACTTGGAAAGAATCCTCCCATCTCCATGGGAAAATAAAAACAGCAGTATAGGGAAAAGATTCTTCTGAATCTTGGCACGTATCACCGACCATCTCCTCCTGGGCACAAATTTGTCCATCTGGAATTGTTGATAGTTATAAATAAGAAGATGCTATGGCCTGCCTATAACTCCTGAACACTGCAAAAAAAAATTAGAGAACATTACTTTGAAATTTATTTCAAATGATAATTCTTTTTCCTACCCTCTCAATACCTGGAATAGCCATGATATCTGTTTACAAATGTATGTGCCAGTAGCTATGATTTCGAAAGTCAGTTCCCACCTCCGACATCAGTGCAGCCATAGATTTTCATTTTTTTTCTCTCTCACACACTGTTGCCATAGTCCTCCCTCTTCTTTCTGGTTGGTCAGAGGTATACAAGAGCAGGCTTCCTGTTGGGCTGCGCTAGCCGATGCCTTGGCTCACCGTTAAGACGCAACTTACCTTGAAATGTCCACTGTCACTTTCCATAGTGTTTCTCTCTGACCCCATCATTTTTTGAGGGGATATGTGGAACGACCTAAAATGTGTCTGGATATTACCCAGGCCAAGTTACTCAGCAATAATACTATCTCATATATTTGGGCTAAACTGCAGAAGCCTGTGCCGCAGGGTCAGAAGACCAGCAGTCGTAAGATCGAATCCACGCGACGGAGTGAGCGCCCGTCGTTTATCCCAGCTCCTGCCAACCTAGCAGTTCGAAAGCATGCAAATGCGAGTAGATAAATAGGTACCATCTCGGTGGGAAGGTAAAACGGCATTCCCTAGTCACGCTGGCCGCATGACAATGGAAAACTGTCTTCAGACAGGCGCTGGCTCTATGGCTTGAAAAGTGGGATGAGCGCCGCCTCTTAAAGTTGGACACGACTGGACTGAAAATGTCAAGGGGAACCTTTACCTTTACCTTTACTAAACCCCAGTATGTGCAATGGCATTTACTCCAAGATATACTTGGAGAAGATTGCAGGTTTAAAGCCTAGAGATTCCATTGGGCAGGTTGAGGAAGCTGTTGGGATGCAGAAGAGCTTGATCTAGGATGGGGGAGGCCCACGTATGCATTGCATTTAAGAAGTGCAAACCAAGGATGTATGTACCTGTTATGAAGGCTTTGCCATGTATCTCACAGAGTCCTCCGCTACTTTTTCACCCTTTCTTCTCCTCCTTGTGTTTTTACAAGGAAATTGCTCAAAGGAACTTGGGAGGAAAGTACATACAGAGGTCAAACCTTGTCCCATGTAAGCTTTGGGCAGCATTCGCCATTTTGTGGAGAATGTTTTTTTAAAAAAAAATATCTGTTCAAGGGGTTGGGAGTTTGGAGAGGGTGGTTGAGGGGAGAGTATGGTGGAAAAATGAGTTGATCTTCAGTCTTATGAAATATTGGCTTAGCTCCAAATATTACAACAAAAACTTTATAGCCATATTATGTACTATATTGCTAGGCAGCAATATTACGATGATATTAGATAAGTATTCCTTTAATTTCCCTCTTATGCGACAGTCTCTATTCTTGATTGTTGTTGTTTAAAAAATAATCAAATGGAAGGTTGCAAAATTTATATAAAATAAGCCACAGCAACAATAAAGTTAGAGGGACACATGCCAGATTTTTCATATGATAATTTTCTTGTCATGGGTCTGTTTTTAGGGCTCCAGCCGTTCCAGAGTGTTCAGACTCAAATGCATTTCCAGCTTGTGCTCCCGCCTGAGAAGGCTTGTAGTCCAGATTATTCTGGGCTGCTAGAAGCTTTCCAGATCTTTATTCTGGATGATTTGAAGGCCCGTGGATTTTGCCATATCCAGGTATTTATAGTATAAACCATGCATGGTGAAAACATTTCAATAATGCAAAATCAATCACAAAAGCAATCGCAAAAACCTAATCGTCAAGCGGATTTGTCGTTTAACGAGGTAATTGTTAAGCGAAGCACCACTGTATTGCACTAAAACCACACAATGATTTTTGAATTTCTGATCCAGTCATGTTACTAACTGAGGTCAGTTTAGGAAATCAACCTCAGAACGCACACTGGGAGTGTGAAGAATATTCGCTGGATTCCTGATCGTATTTGATTCAGAATGTCTCAACACAACAAGTCATAGCTTGTCACAACAAGTCATAGCAATGAGCAATCTGAAAACCTGTAAGATTTCTCAGCTCTTGTAATTTATGAAAAAAAATATTAGTAGCAAGTTAGTGTTGCTTCCGCTTGAGAACTTAGGTACGCATCTGCTCAACAAGCACAGAAGGACTGTCTGATGATTAACAAAGATGCAACCCAATGTCATGCTTCAAAACTTAAATGTCAGTGAAACGAAGCAGGAGTCATACCAGTTTTATGTAAATTATTTGATTTACACAAATGGCAATGCTTTGGAAAAACTGGATGATTTGTGGAAAATATTCTTGTGGCTACAAGAACAGTAGCAAGAATGCTTATAAATTCTTTGCCATCATAGTTTTTTCTTTTCCATTCCTCTTAATATTTTATACTTACTGTTTTTAGCTTGAAATACTGTCTTTTAATGATGTCAGCTGCCTTGGGTCTTTTTAAGGAGAAAAGCAGGGTAAAAATAAATAAATAAATAAATAAATAAATAAATAAATAAATAAATAAATAAATAAATAAATAAATAAATAAATAAATAAATAAATAAATAAATTTGCATGTATTTTGTCCAAATTATGGAGACCCTAATGGCCTCATTGAGTTGATGCAATTCATTTCTTCCAAATACTTCTGGTTCACGAATGTGGGATGTTGTGCTTCTCTATCCATGATTCAAAATGCCAGGAAATGGTCTGATATCATAGTACAATATTGTTCCTGCATTGCCAGCAGGAAAAAGGATGTCATGTTTTACACAGCAAAGGGCAGCTTAAATGTTGATACCACTTATGTCAGCAGGTCAAGATGGTCTACAGCAGTGATCCCCAACCTTGGGCTTCCAGATGTTCTTGGACTACAATGTCCAGAAGCATTCAGCACCACCTCTGCTGGCTAGGATTTCTGGGAGTTGAAATTCTGGAGGCCCAAGGTTAGAGACCATTAGTCTACATGACACCTTCTTGTGCTCACTGTCATTCACAAAGAGTCACCAAGAGGGGAAACTCCCTGACTCCAAACACAAAGCAATTGTCAAGAATTTCTAGGCATCTATTGCTACAGTAACCAAAATGTGGATTAACCATGTCTGTGGAGCTGGGAAGTACAGTACAGTACTGTATTCTTAATTCCAAAAGAATGTATGTGAATTTGGAGTGCAAGTAACATGAATCTTTAATAAGCATTATGAATTCATGAAATATTCTTTACATCTTTTCTTTACAAGCCACCAGCAAGGCTGGAAACGTTAATGGTTACAACAACTATCACAACATTTCAGTTCCTAGCCACAATAAATTTCCATTAACCTAAAACTTTAATCCCCATGTCTGTTCCTCTGTCTTTTTCTTCAGCTGCCAGCCTCTCACGGACAAGACACTGCAGAGGGAATGAGCACAGATATTAGGTTAATTAAGATGGCAAAATTTGGCCCTCAAGCACCCCTAGTTTTAACCCCTATCAGATGAAAATTCTCAGTTCCTTAGAGTCTCAATATAGACTGCTTTCCTGTCTCTCTCCATCCCACCCCAAGTTCTAAGATGATGATGATGATAAACTCTGGTTGCAAGACATTCCACAGGATACCTAAGTTTGGCTTTTTAATTCTTAATTTTTTAAATTTGGCTTTTAAATTTTTTTTAATTTGACTTTTTAATCCTTATTTCTAAGGTAAATGCCTTAGAGCACCCGGTTTCTGTTCCTGTCTGTGATGATTCTTCTGTACGAGTTGAATGTCTGGCTGCAGACCGCCTGGGAGTTAACGTCACCTGGAGAACTTTGCTTGAGGACATCCCAGCCTCTTTACTTCCTGATTTACACAACGTCGGTAGGGTTGAACGTTTCTGTTTGTGTAGCTTGTTCTGCCAAGACTATTACTGCTGTCTCTGTCTTCTTGGAAAATGCCCACATGTGCAAAGTCTGACAGGAATATAATGTGCAATAGAAAATCCAATAAGTGGCTATTTAAGGAATCCTGTCCCCCAACCTGTCCCAGGCAGTATCTTTGGAATTAAAGTTGTTTGACCCTGCAGAGGAAACTCTGTTGAATGATATATGAAAGGAGTGAGATTGTTGAAGAAGGCACCCTTTCTCTTCTCTTTCTCAACTGGCATTTATAGAATTTCATTCTGCTCCAGAGTCTAAGAACCTGGTGTTACTATGGCAGAGAAGTCAAAAATTATATGTTAGACCAGTGGTTCTTAACCTTTGTTACTCAGATGATTTTGGACTGCAACTCCCAGAAGCCTTCACCATCAGCTCTGCTGGCTGGGGTTTCTGGGAGTTGCAGTTCAAAAACACCTGGGTAACAAAGGTTAAGAACCACTGTGTTAGACTACAGCTCCTGGCATCCCCAGATTTTTCTGGGAATTGTATTCCTGAGTATAACTTTTCCAAGCTCTGTACTGTAATATGATGATTATGGAACTGGGCTTGGGTGAGTCCATTAGGGAGTCCAGTTGTGCTTTTTACATAGAACAACAACAACAAAAAGAATATCAGATGGTGTTCTCAGCAAAAAGTCATTGTCGTCACGTTCAAGCTAGGAAAACCTAATGTCCAGTTGGACGCATCACCATGCTTAGAGGAAAGCAGTTAGCTCCTTTGCTCTCCAGCAATGTTTCCTGCACATGGAAAGGAACAAGCCTACAAAGGAAATGTTCCTACCTCTATATAGGTTACCATGAGTAGATCCTACATACAAGCACAAATGTCTCTTCTGCAGACTTGTCACTACTTCCCTTGTGTAGAAAGCAATAACAGAGTAGGCAATGGTCTGGGTTGACCTTTTTTAAAGCATAACAAATGTCTGCAGCTAGGGAATGGTGGAGTATTGCTTTCAGGTTGCCAGGTCAGCATCATTCCACTTCCTCAGATTTCAGGATGAAAACCTGAGACCTGAATGTATCCATATGCATCAGTGGAGAAACTGTGTTTGTGTTTGCACCAGACAAGGTGATGTAGGCACTGCATGGTGAAACTGAAGGTTAATGTGTGAATACCGACAACAATAGCAATATCAGCAAACAAGCATGCAGAATAACGGGGGGGGGACAAGGGTGCGCTTCTGAGCATGTTCAGATGGCAGGTCCTGATGCCATAAGGTTGAATCCCAAATATTAGATTTATCTGGTTGGCTACCTCCTAAGAAGACAGGAGGGCTTCACGTGCTCTGGTCCTTGGGGTCATGAAGAGTTGGACACGATTTAACGACTAAACAACAACAACAAAAACCTCCTATGCTCTGTGATTTCAGGTTCAAATTCAGAAATCTGAGCTTCTCAGGGTCTAAACCTGAGACCTGGCAGCTGTACCTTCTAAATATCATCTGTCAGTCATAAGGCCATGAATGCTAGGTTTCATATTCATTCCTGTTATGGTTTAATCTTTGGGCTAGGTCCTGAGTCCATTAATAGATGTATAGCTGTGTTCCTGCCTACCTTGTATGCTTTAATTTTCCAAGTTGCAGTATCCATCCCTTCTTTTAATAAGGGCTATATGAAAACATCTCTAGAATCTGGCCGTAGGAGAGTGTTTGTGAGCTAACCAGTTCAGTAATCTATTTGTTTACCATTTATGCATCTGGGTTGGCTTATATGGGAAAGGATGTGCAGTCACTTGCTTTTATATATCGAATGTGTCACACAAATCAAGGAACAAGTTGTGCTTAGGCTTGTATTTTCGAAGGCTCTCTGGCCCACCAAGAAGAATCTGAACCTGCCCAGTTGATGCGGAAAAATAGGAGCCTAGTTGACTGTATTATAAATAGAGCATGTAAGGATTCAAGTCCTGGTTGACGATGTAACAACTTATCAGAAGTTCCATGGTGGCTGAGCCTACTCAAAGTTAATGGTAAAGAGAAATAGGTAGAGGTTCCCCTTGACATTTAGTCCAGTTATGCCTAACTCTAGGGAGTGGTGCTAATTCCCGTCTCCAAGCTATAGAGCCAGCGTTTGTCCATAGACCGTTTCCGTGGTCACATGGCCAGCGCGACTAGACACGGAACGCCGTGACCTTCTCACTGTGGTGGTACCTATTTATCTACTCACATTTTTACATGCTTTTGAATGGCTAGGTTGGCAGGAGGTGGGACAAGCGACGGGAGCTCCCGCCGTCGCGTGGATTCGATCTTATGACTGCTGGTCCTCTGACCTTGCAGCACAGAGGTTTCAGCGGTTTAACCCACAGCGCCACCACGTCCCTTTAAAGAGAAATAAGAGGACACCAAATTAAGACGAAGAAGAAAAAAGCCAAATAGCATACACGCCTTTTGCCCAAGCAATCCTGTGGATGCTGGTGTGTGTGTGTGTGTGTGTGTGTGTGTGTTTGACTCCATGGGTGCAATGAATCTACACCAGATTTCAATCCAAACTTTATAGGAGCTATCCACAATGCCGACTCATGACCCCCAAATAGGTTCAGCAGTTTGGACAGCCTTTCAGAATGAAGGGTTGCATAAGCACACAGAGCAGATTCATGGGCCCAATAAATACTTTGCTTACCAACCCCCCAACTTAACAACTGGATGTGCTGAGATGTGTGTATGTGGGACTGCCTGTTTTACCTCCATAGACGACACCATTGATTACAATGGCAGATCCACATGTACATTTGCAAACACATGTCAGTCTTCTGCTGCTACTAATATGAATGAGGGCCAAAAGATCTCTTTTCCTGGAAGCTCTTTTGCCCCAAAGAGTTGGATGGAGATCCATGATGGCAGCTGCAAAGTAATGTTTAATTATCTTCACATTTTCCATGTTTTCACCACTAACTTGAAGATTAAAAAACACTGAAGAATGAAAGAAAACTGAACAAGATTCATTTTCAGAGCTTGGAAAAGTTACGTTTTGGTCTAGAATTTCCAGAATCTCCTAACCTCCACCACGAGCTGTGTTGTCCAGGATTTCTGGCACTTGGGTCCAGGAACACCTATGGACCCAAAGTTGGGAACCACTGTCCTAACCGGTATGGTCTTGGGGGCTATGGGTTTATGAGACTTCTCATTCAAAACTAATAATTTGTACAGGTTCTAATGGTTTTTTATTTCCTAATTAATCACTTTATGCAAGGCATGTTCTTGAGAAAGGCAACCACGTTCCACTTGCCCTGCTGTCATTTGTTTCCTTACAGAAGAAGCAATGGTTGGTGAAAATCTCGTCGGTCGATTTGAGTCACTGGTCAGGAGCGGTGGCTTCCTTCTCCATTTGGACAACAAACAGTTCAAAGCAGATACGTCCATGCTTTTTTTCAAAAATGGAGACTTCAGCACAGCCCCTCAAGTTCAGCTTGGGTGCAGAACTGGTTTCCAGAAGGTTTTAGCTGTCAGAAGTGTGACCCCCAATCTCCAAGGATGTGGTAGGTCTCATCCAGTTTTTTAAAATCATCTTTTGCATAGTTATTCATCACTTTGAACGTGATAAAGCAAAGCATGTTGTGGTGCCTTACAGACTAAAAGGCGTTACAGTGGTGCCTCGCTTAACGATGTTAATTCATTCCAGCGAAATCGCTGTAGAGCAAAAACATCGTAAAGCGAAATTAAAACACCCATTGAAATGCATTAAAATCTCATTACTGCATTCCAATGAGCTAAAAACTCACCATTCAGCAAAGATCCTCCATACGGTGGCCATTTTTGGTACCTGTATAGCAAGGAATCTGTCCCCAAGCACAGCAGGGAGCCATTTTGAGCACCTGGTGGCCATTTTGAAAACCCGACGATCAGCTGTTTTGATCGTCGTAATGCGAAGAATCGGTTCCTGAAGCAGGGAACCGATCTTCGCAAAGTGAAAAACCCCATTTAGACCATCGTTTTGCAATCACAATTGCGATCGCAAAAACATCGTCGTGAAGCAGATTTGTCATAATGCAGGGTAATCGTTAAGCAGGGCACGACTGTATTTCAGAAAAGCTGTGTTGGCTTGCATTGCATCAGAAGCACAGAATCTTCAGAATTTCAGAAAGAAAGTTATGAAACTGGGACTTTTCTGCTGTTGACCCTCAGTTTTGTATTTTGAGGCTACTCATCCTATCATCCAATCTGGCAGAAGGAGGGCTGGTCTCAGACTATGCGAGGAATATTTTTGCTCCACCTTCTGTTTATTCAATATTTCAATATCTCATTCTGCACTGCATTTGACACTTGTTACAAAACTGTAAGTCATGAGCATGTGGGCATGATACACTTAAAATGAGGACTAGAACTGACTTCCACTTCTTGTCATCACTTCTAAGTAAACTTGGTGGGTTGCAACCACCAGATGGTGGTTTGTTCACCCTTCTCTTTTCCCGCCATTTGCCAAATATGGAATTGGCTCTCCATATGGCAGAAGGATTATCCGTCGTGAAGTTCAGACCACTTCACAAATGAATGTAGGCTGCAATTATCCTCATCTGGCTCAGTCTAGAGAGTGCGAAACAAGGTCCCTTTGAGATATGGGATGCCATTTGGGGCAATCCTTGAACCCACAGGCAAGGATTGACCACATCGCACCTCAAACAACTCTCTTTATCCTCCTCCTACTTCCTTCTTCATGCTTTGCCTAAGCTGGAGGGGAACAGAGAGGAAATTTCCCATTTCTTTTTAAGGTAAAGGTAAAGGTTCCCCTTGACATTTAGTCAGCCATGTTCGACTCTAGGGGGTGGTGCTCATCCCCGTTTCCAAGCCATAGAGCCAGCGTTTGTCCGAAGACAGTTTCTGTTGTCACGTGGCCAGCGCGGCTATACATGGAATGCTGTTTCCCTTCCCACCGAGGTGGTACTTATTTATCTACTCGCATTTCCATGCTTTCGAACTGCTAGGTTGGCAAGGAGCTGGGACAAAGCGCCGGGAGCTCCCTCTGTCACATGGATTCGATCGTACGACTGCTAGTCTTCTGACCCTGCAGCACACAAAGGCTTCTGCGGTTTAGCCCACAGCGCCACCAGGTCCCTCTCCCATTTCTTTTTAACAGTTGCTAAACGATACAGCACACCGGCGCATTTAAAAATTCCTTTCAAAACTCTGATGATGTTTTAGAAACAAAAAAAATGGAAAACTTCTCCTCCCTTCCCTTCTGCAGGAGAGCAGAAAGGAAGATGTTCATTTCTCAAGATTAAACAATTAAAAAAAATGGAAAACTTCTCCTCCCTTCCCTTCTGCGGGAGAGCAGAAAGGAAGCTGTTCATTTCTCAAGATCAAACAGCTAAAGCAAAGGGGCAGCTCAGGCCATGCACTTTGGTTCAGTCCCAGTGATCACACACACTGGAACAGAACCAAACTGGCGTGTTCTTACCTGCACCAAAAATCCAGGAGCCCTTGAGATGGACTCAAAAAGGTGCAGGTAGGCAGTGACCAAGGATGGACCGGTTTGCAGTAGCATGTAGGCTATGTGATCATCAGGCAAACTAGTGCATCCCCAATCTGGGACTAAACAAACGCCCATCTGATTGCACCCGTAACTTCAGGCCACACCCAGAACCTCAGATTGCATGTTATTAGGAGGGCTTTTTCATCTCCCGCTTCTTGAGTGAAACTGATCTCCTCTTTCTATTTTAGCATCATATTGTAAGAGGATTGACAAACAAGAATGAAAGAGATTATACAAAGGTTCACTCTCAGTGTCTGGCATTTAAGTCCTCATTAATTCACAACTAAACAGAAACCTGGATTCTCATTTTAGCTCAAGTACTGGTGCCTGCCAGTGTTTTGTTTCCACTTAACAGCCTGGAGTAGTTTGAAGCCTCATTTTAAATGGATTAGGAAAACAGTCTTGTGCAAGCGTAAAGTAGGTCTGTGTTCTGCCAGCTCTTGCTTGGTGTCAGAATGAAGAGTGGAATGTCAGAGTCAAAGAACAAACCCTGGGCAAGAGAGTAAAGAGGCATATGGAAGGCATCAGCAGATAGCACACCCATGCTATTAACAAGGAGCACATGCTAGTAAATGGCTTGGATCATTCAACAGATGGAAACTGGAATGGGGGGGGTGACATGATGGGAAACTGGGATGGAACAGGTAAAGAAGACAGCCAAAATTTTGTAGGAATGCAAGTAGAGCAAATTGTTGAGACTTTCAGGAGGTTGTTGTGAGCAGCGGTGGGATCCATATCCCTTGCCTGATATCTAATTTTTGCTGTTCCTCAACTTCTTTCTCTCATTGCCTTCCCTTCACTGACATGTGGAAGGGATGGTAGAGCCAGGAAACATTTCAAGATGTGACAATAAAATCACTGTGCAGCTTGCCCAAGGCCACACAGGCTGGCTCTTCTGGGAAGCACAATAGGGAATTTAACTCCCAACCTCTGGCCATCCAGCCAACAGAGTTCGGTTAACTTGTCACGGATGACTATTTTTCCTGCACAAAGGGAGTAGGGTGAGCTCCCTCCAAATATTCCATGGTTGAACCATTTTGTGCTTCAGTATTCTCTCTCTTAGATGGTGGTGTGGCAGATTTTTAACCAACAGGACTCTTTTACGATCGCATGATTGAAAGGATCTATGCTCTTGTAGCCGAACTGATTTTTATCATCCTTCCGTGTAGGTAATTAGATTTGTTTCTGTGACTGAATCACCAAGCCAAATCGGAGTGAGGGCAATGTTTTCTACCCACACTCTGAATGAGAGAAAATATTCTTTGTGTTTTGTGCTTTTTTTTGAGCTGCTGCTGAAATGAAGTGATTTTTTTAAATTGTTGTTCTTCACAAAAGGCACTCCATCCTTGGTTTCTACTCTGTACTAGTAAACAATTAATGAGACTCTCTTAAACGTTAACTGAAAAATGAGAGTGACGAACTTCCAAGGTCTAACCCAACATTGCACTGAGGTCATGGAAGAACGTTATTTTCCTCCTTTTGCCCATTGCTGCCCTCCTAACACCAGAGGTTTGCATAGCACTCCAGATCACATTTTGGGGTACATGCAGGGCTGTGGTGGTAAGGGAGAATCACCTGTCTCAAAGCTATGTGAATCCTTCCATGCAGAGCTATTTGATGCAGTAGTTAAACTGAAATACTGCAGTCAAGACTCTGCTTGTGACCTGAACTCAATCTTGATGGGCTCTAGGTTGCTGGCTCAAGGCAGACTCAGGTTAGAGCAATATGTAGCCTGCATAAATTATAAATTGCACAAAGCATGCTTTAAACACTGCAGCACACTAGATAAGCATCACGCGTTGCTTCTGAAGAACCATTCCTGGATACAATCTGTAATCTGGATATTCGGAAAAGTTCAAGCAAATGGAAACAAAGCTTTATTGCTTCCTTGATGCCTAATTTTTTCCTTGAAAGTGGAAGCAAGGTCCCTCCCACTTTCAGTGGTAGAAAAGCATGTCAAAGGTTTGCTGAAAAGAGTGGTATGTTATGAATACCGATGTTAATGCTTTAAATAAATTATATGTGTATTTCTACTGAAGTTTTTAAATTATTCAGCTTAGTAAATTAATAACTGCTTCAGCTAATCTTTAATATAGCCTATATCTGAGTGGTTAAATCATAAAATCACAGAATACTTGAGTTGCAAGGGACCTATAAGGCTATCGAGTCCAATGCCCTGCTCAAAGCAGGAATCTAAATAAAAGCAGATCGGACAGCTGCTTGTTCAATTTTCTCTGGAATGCCTCCAGCGTTGGAGCGCTCACCACCTCCATTGTCGTACTGCACTAACGGTTCCATTGTCGTACTGCTCTAACGGTTAAGAGGTTTTTCCTGATATTCATCCAAAATCTGGCTTCCTGTA